GTTTTTTATATAACTACTCATTCGTGACCCATTCGACTCAAAACGACTCAAACGACTCACAAAACGACTCAAAACGACTCAAAACGACTCAAACGACTCCAAACGACTAAAAAAACGACTCAAAACGACTCAAACTGCTCACAAAACGACTCACAACGACTCTAAACGACTCACAAAACGACTCTAAACGACTCACAAAACGACTCAAAACGATCCAAAACGACTCATTAATCAAAAAATGTGTAAAATGCATCGAATGAGTCGTTTTGTGAGTCGTTTAGAGTCGTTGTGAGTCGTTTTGTGAGTCGTTTAGAGTCGTTGTGAGTCGTTTTGTGAGCAGTTTGAGTCGTTTTGAGTCGTTTTGAGTCGTTTTTTGAGTCGTTCGGAGTCGTTTTGCCAAGTCGTTTTTTGAGTCGTTTGGAGTCGTTTGAGTCGTTTTGAGTCGTTTTGTGAGTCGTTTGAGTCGTTTTGAGTCGAATGGGTCACGAATGAGTAGTTATATAAAAAACGAATTCATCCGTTTCTTGTCATTTGGAGACTTACCTTCAAAGATTCAACATGAACGCCATTGCAGCAGTCAAAGCCCATGCTTGTCGCCAGTGTGACAAAAGCTTCGGACGGAGATATAACCTACGGAGACATGTAGAACATGCACACATTGAAGAGGAATCTGACGATGATCGTGATAATGAAGTCATGGGCGTCGCCAGGATTTTTTCTAGAGGGGGGCAAAACATTTTTTTGCCAAAAAATGCTTGTATTTCTCAACACATTATCGATTTATCAGTTTTAGAGGGGGGCAGGGACATTTTGCCCCCCCCCCCGAACTCATTAAATTAACACCACTTTGTCTTCGCGCCTCTTTTTCTTTTCTTTTTTTTTCTTTTTTTTTTTTTTTTTTTTTTTTTTGGCTTTTCCAGGGGGGGGGGGGGCAAGTGCCCCCCCTTGCCCCCCCCCCCCCCCCTCGCGAAGCCCATGAATGAAATTATTCAATCTGAAAATTCTGACGTAGAGTCCGAACCAGATTTTAAAAAGCGTAGAATTGAAGATTCCGAATCCGAAACGGAAGTAGACGAAGACGAATCATCGGATGAAGAGGAGTCTAGTTCTGATTTAGAGGACAACGCCGCCTTTCAAGATTGGCTGGATGAAGCGAAAGATGAAACTGATAGCTTATGGCGTGAAAAATATGACAAATACATCAGCGATGATGATATTAGTGAACAACTGGCCAAGGAGAAAGCCAGCAGTCAAACAAATCTTTTTCAACAAATACAAGGATTTTTTGTCAAGTTACCTACATCTAAAAGATAACGATGCTCACCAAGATATTTTAGAGGATTTGGAAGAGAAAATAGGTAAAGGCAATGGAGTAAACAATGCGGTAAATAGAGTTTTGACTAAACACAACGCCAAATCTGTTTCAATACGTCGACGAAGAAGATAATTAGAAAGCCAATGATAATTCAAAAGGAATAGTTTCAGAAAGACTATTGTTTTGTTTTGTTTTATATAAACTAAAAGTGTCTTTGATATAACGAAAATAAAATATAAACAGTCACCTCTTTGAGTCACTCGTACAGTAATATACTGCGGTTAGTTTTTATTGTTATTATTACGATACTTCAGGATAATGGATTAACCTCCTAATAGTGCACTGGCCGACTAGACCATACGCCCTCTATTCCCAGTCCAACTGTCGGGGTTACCCTAAAATAAACATACACTCCTACACCCCCAACCCCTGGGCTATTTTATATTATTATGTTACCTGAAGATAACGGATTAACTTCCTAACAATATGTAGACCGTTAGCTCGCGCCGCCACGTACAGTCTATCGATCGTCAATATAAAAGCCCAGTTTGTGATCGCTTCCACACAGTCCGTTATATGTGTGACTATAGCATTTGAAGCCCATTTTCCATTTAATACTTTTCAAGGAACTTTACAGTAGACATTTGCCTATTGGTATTTTTTTTCTAGTCTTGTGTGTTTCTTAAAGTTTAACAATCGCGAATGCCTATAATGTCGGACAGTGCATGTGTTTCACTGGCTATGTTGATAATCCCTGTCCATATTTACAGTCTGAAAACCCGCATATTTTGCAATAAGACCATCTCTCTTTCTATTTCTTTGAGTTCAAATGGAAACAGTATTAGCCGACCTTTCTTTATGAACAGTAATTCCCATACAGTACCGTATTAAAATCTTCCAAAATTACCATTTTGTTTTACACGACTTTTGTAATCTATCAAAACAAAAATCCACATGTTGTTAAAGCGTTTTCATCGTGGGTATCACTGAATCGAAGTTAATATGTTGCGCATTCCCAGCCATGAGTTTAAAATCACAAATATTGCAACGTGTCTTGCCCGTGTCCAATTGGTAGGCATTATTTTGAAGGCCCTCCCGAAGCCAAACATTTGATGTAATCCTGCATGTCTGTCTCGAAAGTCATATACGCAGCAAAAACGAAAGTATAACAAAGGCGTAGGCAGGGGAAGGGGGGGGTATAGGGGTGGTGTTCTGGGGAGGGGATCTTTTTGGACATTTAAACAGCACCAGATTGCAGGATATGATGTCCTTTTCTAAAAAAAAAATTCCTTGGGGTGCATGACCCCAGATCCCTCAGTCTGGGGATCCCCTTTGGGGATCACAAGCCATTGAATTCCGAACCCCCTTCGGAAAATCCTGGCTACGCCCCTGTATTATGGAGCATGGATTAGTACGCAAAGGTATTGATCTTCCCAGGTACAATGGATTGGACTCAAACAAGGTCCACCGTAGAGAGTGCATGCACATGATTGTAAACAAAGTATGTCGTCATCAGCACATATGCCTATGGGGTTCTATTCAATCAAGAGTGCCAGAAGCCGTAACAATGCTTTCGATGCAAGCAGTCGTTAAGGTGTCTTCGGTACGGGTACAGAGTGAATTGGATGTTCAGAGGCAAGTGGGGTTTATTCATCCAAGAGCGCCTAAGCCGTAACAATGGTCAGGGGTCAAGTTCTTCGTTGTATTGGCTCTTGGATTCTTCAACAGTATACCCATAAACACTAGTGGGGATGAAGTTTTCATTCATCGTCTGTAGTACACCAAGGAGTATTCAAGATCTGCAAATAAAAATCCTGACTGCTCTTGACTACCATCAAGATGTACCATTTGTGTTTGTATGATGGAAGATCTCTTGCATTTGGCTGTATGGAGATTTACATCTTCTGATTTTTACGTCTTCTTTGGGCGAGAATTTCTCGAAAAGTCAATGGTCAGCCCACCCAAAAATGAAAAGAAAATGAAAGATTACATGTTGATCATCTTTATTTCTGTGCAGCTTAAATACCTGTGAGAGTTCTGAGTATTTTTAAAAGAATTTTGAAGTATGGGCGTTTAGCACTAGTGTCTAAGTGAATTGTGAAATTCTAGTAAATTTTAATGCAGGTGTGCACATATAGTGGAATTGTGCACTTTTCTCACAAATTATGTTTCTGAAAGCATTATGAAGGTTAACTTTTGCTTTATTTACTAAACTCATGCCCGTTTTTGAAATTTATCAATGTGAAAATAGTAGATAGATCGTTCACATTCATAATAATGGTACGTACTGTGAAGTTGCAAAGTTCGGCCACATGTACTATTGGGCCATTTTTGTCAAAAAAAAAATCATTTTTGGTCCACAATATGATTGTTAACTTAGATATTGGTATATATGTATATCTGTGGGAAAATCCTCAGCCATGAAGGCAAGTTTTAAACCAAATTGAGGCTCCATTAATTCACAATGTCTACACTGTACGGTTACAACTTATAACTTTATGGGTGAGACACGGGAGGTTGATTTTAAAGCAGCTTTTTGCAAACTTTTGGTGTTTTTTTTACATTCCTGTATTATCCGTGATTGGACTAATAAATAATTAGGCTGATTCACTAGATATGTAGGAAATTACTTAGCCATCTTTAAGATGAAATGAAAGATAATGTTCATAACATGGACGGACACTTTTGATTCATACTATATGTTCTTGTTATAATAAATCCAGCCCATGTTCCATTTTTATTACATATTCAATGAAAAATTAGTATCATTCAACATTAACTTGAAAGCAACCTATTTAGTATTTATGAAATTATGATGCCACTTGATACATGTTCATAACATGGACAGAAATGTGCGACACAATTTCTGTCCCTGTTATGAACATAAAGTCTTGAAGATGTGCCCACCCTGTAGTTAAAAATACCTAGAGGTTTAACCTGAGATTGGCCAGTGGCAATCTCTCAATGGACAGCTTTAAATTAGGAACAAATTTGGGATAATTGATGTATTTTATTTACTGCTTTCCATCACTTAAAAATGAAATGTCCGTCTATGTTATGAACGTTAATTTCTCGAAACCTGAGAAATTTATCAAACTTGTTGGTGGGCAATGTTCTTACCACGATATTGGATGAAGAAAGACGGAAAACCTAACATATTACTTCATGTATCGACTCCTGTCCATGGTTCCCTCTAAATGTCACACTTTTGTAACCGTTAGCGTGGACAGACCCAATAACCATTTTAAGATAACAAAATACACAGTTAGTAAAAACAGTTTAGTAAAAATGTGATTTTTTTCCCTCCAAAATCGTGTTCCCAAAAGGCAACACAACTGGTGAAATTTGGCTATTTAGCAAAATCATGCCTTTTTTGTGAGCAAAGCAAATGTGAAAATGGATGATAGATCACTTGCACAAGAATTTTAGTGCAGTTGAGTGTGTTTTCTGGCCATTTGATTAAATAATTATAGACATCTATGGAGCAAGTCCCATCCATGGAAGCAAGTTTGACAGCTTAATGTATATGATCTCCCATAAATTCACGACAGGCATTTTAAGATTACAAAACGTACAGTACTATATAGGCACTATTGAGTCAAAGTGGTTTTTATCAAAATTGTATTTCGTATGATTAATGTTTTGTTTGCCCTTCACCAATGTAACTTAATAAGTACGGTCAGTACTGTGCTGTCACACAGCCTGTTACATATTTCCCGGTACCAACTTTCCTTTTAATTGTATACGTTGACAGTTAATTGTCCCTTCCTTTCCCGGATACATTTTCTTACAGTTACATCACATAATTAACATCAGTAACACGATTGAATAAATCAAATAATTCTCCGATGTCTTCCATCTTAATGCGACCCAGTCCATCTTACACCTTCTCGCCTGCTTCTTGTTCCAGCACCACTTCATAATCGCTGTCTTGGAAATCCTTGATTGATATGAATTCCTGTCAACCAAATTAAAGGGGAACCAACCGTTATATTTGCGTAGCGCCCTCAACTCGGGAGATAGGGAAAATCACTGTTTTTACTCATCAATCTGTTGTTTGCATTGACTTATATAATTACACTAAGATGCGAGCGGTACCGGTACCGACAGTTTATCTAGACAATATTTTAATCAATAATGAATAACAAATATCAAAGGATTCGTCTGCAAAGTAAAGTTTTTCTCTCAATGGCCTTATAATTAATTAATTACAGCAATATTGTTTAGAGTAGCAAATGTTATACCTCAAATATGACAACAGAAATGTAGTTGCTTTGTTACTTGAATTCCCTTTGTTTCAAAAGGAGTACCAATGCGGTTCTCTAGGAGTCCTGATGATAGAAATCGCATACCTTTCCCTTGTTGATGTATTTTTCCAGCTCGGCACTGATCATCTTAAAGGTCGGTCTGTTGTCTGGATCTTCATCCCAACATCTAAGCATCATCGCATACCTTCAGGAAAATTGTATGCTATAATAAGCCGTTTTGACAATATTTTGAACAGTTTCAGGAAAAAGAGTCAAACTATTACAGGGAAAAAAGAACAATTTAGAGAGATAGTACTCACAGTTCCTGTTGGCAGTGTTGTGGTTTGGGCATACGGTAGCCAGACTGAAGCTTACCAATCATCACATTCGCTGTCATAGCGGGGTATGGACGAGCACCTTTATATACACAATGCAAATAACATCTTCTAAAAAAAACCATACATTTGCAGTATTTTCAAATTGAAGGTGATATTAAGATATATTTGCATAAAAACCAAGAGAGCGAGCACATTTTTCTGCAGTTCGTCTTCCCGAGAAACTCAAACCATGAACCCCAGGATTGTTTTGCTGCAGATGTACAATGTATTCTACATGGAATAGCGATCTTTTGGAATGAACGTACAAACATTGTGGCCTAGCTCACATCCACTCATGCATTATTTTGCCTCAACGTTTCACAAAAATGGAAACTGCTTTTGCTTTTTGTTTTAATTTTGCAGACGTAATTGCTGAAAAATATTACCTAGAGTAACTATCTCCCACAGAAGTACGCCATAAGACCATACATCACTCTCTGTTGTGTACACATCATCCAAAATGGACTCCAGAGCCATCCAGCGCATGGGCAGTGCACCCTGCAAAAATAATTTAAATTAAATTTCTGAGGGGGCATCCTGGATGTACATTTTTTAAGAGGGGCAATGAAGGCATTATGGTATATTGTTTTCGTTCAATTACAGATTTTAAATGGGGGGATGGAGGCACCAGGGGCACCCAGTGGCATCCGGCGGGCACTCGTGGGCGCCCTGGGGCACGGATATTCATTGGGGGCACGTTCCCCCCTCCCCGCCCCCTTTCTGCACCCCCCCCCCCCCCATTTACGCCACTGAATCTCCACCTCATGCACATACCTCTGAACCCCGTTCATACACTCGGATATTCATGACGTCACGGGCGAGTCCGAAATCAGACACCTTACAAGTCATGTCCTCAGCCACAAGCACGTTACGGGCAGCAAGGTCCCTGTGAATGCACTGTGTGAGAATTAGGACGTTTGCCAGTTAAAACAAGAGGAGAGCTAAATGACATGCATCATGAAGTAAAGGTTCATGTTCTCACCCGATTCAAAGGTTTAGAGTCAGACACAAATGGAGCCGAACGTGTTGATTATATTCTCAGTTCAATGGCTAAGAATGGTTACCTGTTGAGATGAGATGAAGGCCATTCCATCAGCGGCATCCTTGGCAAACTTCATCAGATCCTTGGAGGTTAGTGACTTACTGATACCATGCAGGTTGCCATAGACACGCCCTCCCTTACTGCGGCTGTCTTTAAGAAGGTCTTTCAGGTTGCCTCTGGACAGATATTCCACGATGATGTATGGCGGGTCTGATTGTAGAAAGGAATGAAGAATTTCACACAATCACGATTTAATGTTTTAAAAACCAATTTCTAGGATAACTTACCTCTGGACAAAGACCAATTCAGTGGAAAGAAAGGAATTTGCATCCTGAATAAAATTTCGTTAAACCAATATCAAAACTATAAAAATCGTTCGTTGGGTCTGAAAAAAAAACGATACAAAAATTAATTTCACGTCTTGATTCATGTACTTCGCTTTTGAATATATGGTCCAGTCTATCAATTTTCCCCCTGTGCCCCCTGAATTATATATAAAGATACAATGGACGAAGCTCATCAAAGACGGAACAAAGGCCTTGTTTAAAAACTGCACAATCGAGTGTCATCACACAAACCAACTCCGACCACAAATGGCTGTTATTAAAATTACTATCACCATGACACAACGTGTTTATCAGTTTCACAGTTGGTAGTTACAAATGAAAAAAAAATCCCATCGGTAGTAATATTCGTATACCTATCTCTACACAGAATCCAAGGAGCCTGACTACATTGCAATGGTCTGGTAACTTCTTCATCAGGTCTAGCTCCCTTATCATGTCGGCTTTGTCACTCTTGTTGGCTTCCTCTGCAGAATTCAAATTGAAGAAGTAAACCGATATGTTCTGAAACTTGTTTCATAACTTTTGTTGGCATGAGCAGAATAAAAAGGAAGATGTCTAAAGAGTTATAGTGGAATCTTCATTACTACGTACAAATTACTCCCAACTCAATCACATGTGTTGAGGCAATGTACAAGCTGAAAAGAAATGTGATAAAAAAAACCAATAAAATGTGATAAAAAAATGAAATGTGATAAAGGAATTTCTTAAGTTCACCCCTCGAAACGTATGCATACAATATGCAATCTGTAGACAGCAGCCCTTAAATATTCCGGTTTACCGATATGAAAGGCAGTACAAGTTGATGAAAATGAAAAATGTAATAAAAACTAGACAATTAACTATTGTTCAAATATTCAAACAATTATGACCACGATTTTTCTCGCCTCGTAACTGCAATAATGATTAAAGGAAATCTGATTTGATTTGTCACTCTACTCTACAAACTGGCAAAAGTCGAAAAATTTGCACAAATGTTCACGGAAAGCATTAATTTTCCAACTCACCTTTTAGTGTCTTAACAGCAACCAATGTCACCTTTGACCCCTGTGTCATCCCCGAGGCTTCAGCGAGAAGCACCTGACCAAAGGCGCCATGTCCAAGCTCTTTGATAATCTTCAGCTGATCACGTGGGAAAGCCTTGTGCTCAGTCTGGACATTTGCATAGGCTGCGGTTCCTGGTTCCTGATTGGCTGGATTACCAAGTACTTTTAATTCTGAAATTTTGAAATGAATATAAAGTAATGACTACGAATTGGACCTCAGTTATGCAATGAAAATATTTTTAGAAATTTTTTTCACAGTAGTCTTCACTGTCTTTGATTTACATGCAGTTCCCGTTTGTGTTGTTATTTCTGTAGCCTTTTATTTCATGCGGCCTCACTTTCAGCTGGGCAAGAACTCAAAAATGACTCAAACCTATTCCTAACATTCACTTCATCACACCTGTTATCTCTTGATAGGGTGACTGTGTGTCTGCTTGCGAATGTTTGACTTTTGGACGGACGTCTTTCCTGCAAAAAGGCAAAGTGAAAAAAAACATCAATAAGTCCGAACTTCGTCAGTAATGTATAGATGCGATAAAAGCAGATTTTAAAGCAAGAATAAAACTTACACTGTGTCTCTTAAGGTTTCTCTGTCCCCTGGAATCAAAAAGAAAAAGAATGAGATCTCTATGTTTGCTCAGAAGATAATTCTCAGTTTTATTGAGGGTTCAGGGTTTATAATGCAATTCCACAGTAGCTCGTGTTACGTTTAAAGGGGTGTCTTCCTTCAACTCAGTGCTGTTATTCTATGAAGTCAAAGCGTTTTAAGGTGGATTTTTCTCACAGAAGATTCTGATATGTTAAATTATTTTATAAAAGAGGTCAACAAGGTATTTTTCTATTTTTAGCAATAAGATATTTATAGGCAACTTGCATTGCAAAAAAGACATTGGAAACATTTATATACATCGCATTTGAAAATCATAATACTGTGCACCCTGTGAAGAACTTTTTTAGTGTCCCCACGTCATTAGTGTTAGTCTTTTGCTTGCATAACGGATATAAAAAAAAAAAAAAAAAAATCAATCATCAAATCTCTGACCATTTTCCATTTCACTGGCACACATTTCAAGTGAACTTTCTCATTGTCTTCTTTAATTAGATACAGGTTTTTTATGCTTGTAGAGCTAACTGTATCATAGATTTTCCACTTTTCACCAACCACCAACGTCCACTTTTCCGTGGAATTACATGTGTACCCACAGGATGGAGTGATGGGGGTGTGAATGTTTAAAATATACGGTTATTTTTATTATTTGTACACTTATTTTGTGATTTATCAAATGGCTGTCTAATTACACTCCTGATATGTATTTCCTGCGTGCATCATTACACATAACAACATGAGACCCACAAAAGAGTTCCTTTTTAAAGCAGATTACCAAGACGATACAGATGTCAATCTTACCGTTGTTGTGGTTTCCATATTTTCTCTTTGCATAGACTCCGAGCACAACGATGACACCTAACACGACAAATCCGACGACGACACCGACGATGACACCAGTACTGTCATTTGGTTCGCTGGGCTGAGACAAATCTTTTACTTGGAAAGAATACAATATTGACATATTGTTTTAATAAAAACAGGGAATTTAAATCAAATCAAGCTTTGCTAATTATTTTTCAGAACGTAGCAATTCATTGTATTTTTATCAATAAAATCAAGTTCTGCAGTCAAATGGGAGGTAACGTAAAATCCGGATATTGCAGCAAAATTATAAACCTCTTTGTTTATCTAATGTGACATTTTGATCATAATTTTTTTTTTTAAGGCTAGCAAAGACAACAGTTTTGATAGTAAACTACTAATCTCAACCAGCGAATACAGTAGGGCTATCATGTATTAGTCATCATTACAAAATGACTTTGTCCGAAGGTTTACCTTCTTCGGCATCTGCTCGTTGACTGCACAAGCCACCAATGCAAAGTCTAGCGCGGACGGCTTCAATGTCTGCTACAGCTCGTCTTCTTCGCCTCTGTGATGACGCACACCATTCAGAGAGGGTCACTGTCTGATCAGACTCAATGCAATCTCCACACTCCTGCCAAGTGCCGTTGACTTGGTATTGGACTTCCAGCTGGATGCATCCATTCCCCTTCAGCCCTCCAATAACCACAGTCCCATCTTTCTTGTTAAACCCAACAGTGAACCCTGATGATTGGATATTCAAATTATGAATAATAATAATAACAATTATTTTTACTCTTAAATTTTCACAGAAACAGACCCCACAACATGTTAACTTTATTGAAAGATCCTTAAAAGTTGCCAATATACATATTCATGTAGGCCTTAAACATAAGTTGCAACTAAAACAAAAAGATACAATTAATCATTTAACCCACGAGCGCGAGTGAAACATGGAATAACTGAGGCAGAAGGCGGAATGGTGTGTGGGATGTAAAACGCTCTACATTTTTTGTGTTTTACGAGCACAAGTAGTGGAATAATACATTTTAATTTCGTTTAAGCAAATTAACCTGACGCACAGTAAAGATGGAACATGCACGCTCTACGCGGAATTTTTCATCCGTTATCCTGTTACATGGGCGTATACATTTTGTAGTGGGAATGATATAATGTGCATCTAAGAATAGCACGACACGCGGAGTGCAGTAGAACCATTGTACAATATGGGATAATGTAGCAACGTTTGTTTGCATTGGATCGACCAATCAGAATTGAAGATTTCAGTTTGCTTGAAGACACTTGTACTGTCCACTACATACGTATATGTACGTACAACACACAGTATACATACTTTGAGATGTTTTTGTTTGTGAAAAGACAAGATGATATTCAACAAACTCACGTAGATATTCAAATTGAACGTACCTGAGTCTGGGTCTGGTGCCTTTGCTATCAGAAAAATAAAGAGAGTAATATCGATCAATAAACTATTTGGACAGACTTAGGTGACATTTGAAAGTGAGAACAATTTTAAGAATTTGCACATACTGGGTCGGATCCAGGAATACTTGCAAGGGGGGGGGGGGATTTTCATGCCCGTCAGATTCAGCTATATATACAATAGCGAAAACCTCCAGTGATCCACGCCATTTTCCGGGCCGGTCTCCCGTCCCCCGCGTCCGTTCCTCGCTGTGGCCGCGGACTGGAGCCCGGCTATCTCCGCAAAATTTGATCGGCGCCATTGCCCGATTTGATCGGCGCCATTGCCAAATTAGAATTTGATCGGCGCCATTGCCCGATTGGATGCGCGTCACTGCACTGCCCCGGTGCCGTTCGCCGTGGAGAGGGGGGGGGGGGGGGGGGGGTGCGGGGATATGATTGGGAGCCTGTCCATAATCGGACGAACAGACCATGCGCGCGCATCTCGGCCGAATTTTGAAGGGCGCCCGCATCGCCCGTTTGATCCGCGCCATTGTTCGCGCGGTGTCCCGTCTGCCCCGTCGCCGTTCGACGTGGAGAGGGCAGTGGGGTTGGGAGCCTGTCCATTCGGCCGAGGAGACCGTACGCGCGCATCTCGGCCGAATTTTGAAGGGCGCCCGCATTGCCCGTTTGATCCGCGCCATTGTTCGCGCGGTGTCCCGTTTACGTAACCCCTGTGCGGGGTCCTACTAAACTGCGTCAACAAGCGTCAACAAGCGTCAACAAGCCTCAACGGTCGTCAACGAGCATCAACACATTTTGTATATGCTTTTGAACATGAAAAGTAGCTTTATATGGTAGAAAAAGCAATGAAGAACATCTTCTGCATATCAATTAAAGTTAAAATTATTTCAAAACTTGGTGGTTGTTTTTTTGAACGCGAAATGTACGACGAATTTGTCGATAAGTGTTGGCCGCCATTTTGTTTACGTGAAGCTAGCCGTACTACGCATGCGTGAAGTGTACAGAGCCATACTACGCATGCGCGAAGTGTACAGCACCATCCAAACAAGATGGCGGCCAACACTTATAGTTACGCATAGACTTCCACACTCGAAGCATTCCCAACAGAAACTGATGATGTACATGTACTTCAGTGACAGGTATGTCAACAGTGTTTATGGTTCATAACCTTTTTGTACATCACATTTTGCTCTTCATGTTTATTCTAATGACAAAGACAGCCTAGATATAGTAAATCCAGACACATGAAATTACAACATTCAAATTGATTAACTCGCCTTTGTATCGGTGGCAACACTACATTGTATAGCACCATTATAATACTCGACTTCTCATACGTGTATATATATGCTGCGCCACAATCCCTCAATTTCTTTAAGAGTAATGTTTCCTGATTATATAATATCACTGTTTCTTTGCTTCAGATAAATGACCACGCAAAATGAAAAGGTCAAACTTTCATGCCCTCGGAAAATGATGCTATCATTTTGGGAGCAAGATTTTCAACAAAAAAATCCACTGAAATTAAAGGATATTAAGTAGACATTGAATTCTGTTTGTGTTGGTTTGTATAAATAAACAATTATTATTCCTCCACGCAGGACTTTCTGACGACATCTTGAACACCACAGCTACCTACTTAAATTTGCTCAACAAAAAATCTGAAAGACAAAGAAGACACTTCTCTGGCACAAATGCATATGGGTAAAATTGCTGATCTTTATAACAACTTCATCATTCTTTACAAACCATCGTTTCCTATTCCCAGAGTCGTAGAATTCATGATGTACTTTTAACAAAAAAAGTGACTGTATTAAATTTCATTGCATCGTCATGACATTCGTGAGTTTTTCCCTTTATTTTTTTTAAATTTTTATAATTGTATAACGTCTAAGTGATATCCATCAATGATAATGTAATAACATTTTTTTTAAATTTCCTATTCTCGCGTGACAAACTGCACTGGATCACTCCTGTAAACCAGGAACCAGGGTATCTCTTTCTATTCTTTTTCAGAAGGATATCAATCCCCAATTTTAGAATTTTTGGTGTTATGCAAACACTTACAAGATCTGAACTTTGTTTGAAGAACAATTATCGTATGGGATTAAAAGGACACCATTTCATTACTCCTTTCAAGATGCATACTGCAATCACATTTTTCCTTTCCTCATGAATTTACAATTGGAATGTTTTGTTTAACGGCAATAAAGGTATTCATCATTATTTTTAGGAGTCTCAATCCTCTTCAAAAAAGTTATTATGTTGTACGGGCAAATGAAAATCACATTATTTGTCTTACTGCCAAAATTTCATTTTTATACTCGACCAAAGGATATCATTCCCAAATTGCCCTCAAGATAGATTACATGCATATCTCTTTGATCTACATGTCAAAGTGTAGTGCAATTTCCATATTATGCAGTCAATATTACTCATAATATTGTACAGTACCTTTTCCAATTTTCCATTTTTGTAATAAATATGCATGTAACATTTGCTGTTTCACATTCGAAGTTTAAGTTTCCCATTCGTGTCCTTATATTGACTGCAATGAATACAAGTCTTTTTGAATTATGATTACAATTCCTCACTTTGCAACCCCCAAAACCATATTTCCCCCTTCCTGCCAAATATTCAACCCCACCACCACTGGCTGCCCCTCCTGCCTCCTATATAGTGAGATTCATGGATACGCCGTTGAAAAGATCAAATCGAGTTTCATCTGAAATACCTAATTGTACATTTGGTGAAAACAAACTTTTGGGCGTAACACCTCCAAAACCAGATGTTCACATTGATAGATAATAGTCTAGCATTTAATATTAGTTTTGACCTTTCCAGTGATACATTGCACGAGAACATCAGCCAGCAATAAGTCATATCATTTAATTTAATCCAACTGAAGAATTAAGAGCGGGACTTTCCATTCCAGGCCTGCAAAATCAAAAAACCCTCTACACTTGAGTGAGTGATTTTAATATTGCCATCCCACCGGCCCCCCACAATAACAAAACACATTTTTCCCCATCTAGCGCCCCACCCCCTTGCTGGCCCCTTCCTCCCCCTATATTGACTATTAGGCCTACACGAAGCGTCATATAAAATACCTGATGTCCTACACCCTCGCACAATCTCGGCAGGTAAGGCTATGCATGTTCGCACGTTCACAAACGCAAATGCACTTTATAAAGGCGAGACTAGCGCGTGAAAATAGAATAGCGTACAGCAGAGGGTCTCACGATACGCCGGGCGTATCTTAAGAAAAAAAGTCTGACACAACATATTGACAAGAAATAGGTCAGACAAGAAAGCTACAATTATTCGCCATCCCCCCAACAACAACAACACACATTTTTCCCCATCTACATCTACAACCTACCGCAGATGTGTTTTTTTGCAATTACGTAATCATGACGTCATCACGGGTCACGTGACGTCACTTCAAAGTTTAATACATTTAATCTTTGAAATTCCATATAAAATTAACCGTGAGAGACCGGAACCTGAAATTTGCGGGAATCAACATGGTAATACATGCTCTTCATGTTATCTTCTGCGCGCAAAATCACGTGACCCTTCCTTCCGGTCGAAACCGGAAGTGCCTAATAATTGTAAAGTGGAAAAAGATATGAACTTGCTTTTAACGATTGAAGGGTCTGCCTAGATTGACCTTTCAAAAAAAATAATGGGTGACGCCATGAAGTGTTGGAGCGCCCTCTAGCGGCAGGTTAAAAAACGTCAAAAACGCATTTTCACTTGATGTCTGTGGCGAAGTTTGCGGTAATCGCTTCAAAATTAATGTACATGATGACCTTAATGCAGACAGCACCTGTGCGCGAAAAAAAAATGATTACGTCATCAGACCGGAAGCTACAATAAAAAGACCTTTAAACCTTCAAAAATTAATAGAAAATATACCGTGATAGATATAATCGAGATTTGGCTGTATATAGCACAGTTAAAATAGCTCTTGAACTTTCTGGTGATGACGTCATAATGACGTCATCCAGTATCGTATTACAAGCAATCAAAGATTTCTAGATTTAATCTTTGAAAATCAATATAAAATCAACTGCTACAGATTTGATTTTGTTTTTTATGGCAATCGATACAATATTGCAGGATCTTCAGTTTTGGTATTAAGTGCAAAATCACGTGACCCTTCCTTCCGGTCGAAACCGGAAGTGCCTTATTATTTGAAATTGGCAGAAGATGCGAACTTGCTTTCAATGATGTGAGTGTCTGTCTAGGCTGTACTATAGCAATATATTACAGGTGACGTCATAAAATGTCAGAGTGCCCTCTAGCAGCAGGTTAAAAAACGTCAAAAATGCATTATCACTCGTTCTATAATTGGTTCCTAAAAGGAGCGAAGGTCACTCTGCCTGGGAGATTTCAAGCATAATATTTGGTTGCTAAATTTAATAGGTCGGCCAACAAAAGTATTATCATAATGACGTATCTGAAATGTTAACTTCTTTTATATCAGGGGTGTGAGTGACCACTGATAAAAATAGCTGAAAACAGCTGAAAAAGGTGTAAAAAAAGCTGAACTTTGGAAATCTCCTATACTTTTGTACACAGCAAGTGAGGGAAAAAAGCTGAAATCCAAATCAAATCAGGCTGAAATCAGCTTAAAAGCTGAGGTTTCACACCCCTGTTATATGTTGAAATTTGAAAATCCGTGAATAAATGGCTGAGAACGATCTTTTACTGTTATGCTTGCATAAAACCGCAATTCGCCAGAAAGAATAGTTCCAGAAAGCAGTGTGGCTAACAGGTGGTATTTCATTTAACCACAAGTCATTATCTCGCTGGGACTGTGGAGCAGGGAGGGGAGTTTGGTTTACTTGCTCCCCAGGGGCTTTCAACAGTGTGAAACTAGCCACTTTCTTAAGAGGGATGGTTTCGTCATGCAAAGTTTGCGGTAATCCATGGCCCAACACCGTGTTGTTGTTTCTACAACCTCTTGTTAGGTGTTGGGCCTCAGCCCAACACCTATTGTTATTGTAAGAATTTACTATTTTTTTTATTCTTCTTCAAGACACATTCTTCTCCGGAACTGTTTTTCAAAATGAAAACATATATGAACTTCAATTGTCAATACATGAATGCACAACCAACTGAAGATGTGCTTTTTTGCAATTACGTCATCATGACGTCATCATGGGTCACGTGACGTCACTTAAAAAAATAATCAATTTAATCTTTGAAATTCAATATAAAATCAACCGTCAGAGACCGCAACTTGAATTTTGCAAGAATCGACATGATAATATATGATCTTCATTTTATC